TGACGGCCCCTCTGGGACACCTGCCCCATCCACACACCCCTGCTCCCTGTCCCCTGACTGCCCCCGAACCCCCACTGCCCCGTCCAACCCCTCCTCTCATTCCTGACTGTCCCCCGGGACCCCTGCCCCCATTCAACCCTGTTTCCCCCCCAACCACCATCCACACCCCCGCCCCCTGACCACCACCCCGAACTCTCCTGCCCTCTATCCAACCTCCCCTGCTCCCTTACCGCGCTGCCTGGAGCTCTGGTGGCTGGCAGCGCTACAGCCATGTCACCCAGCTGGAACCAGGCCATGCCACTGCCACCACCACCGCCACCAGGCAGCACAGAGCACGGGCTCAGGCCAGGGCTCTGCAGCTGCGCTGCCCCAGGAGCTCACAGCCCCACTGCCCAGAGCATTGTGCTGGCGACGGAGCAAGCAAGTTGAGGCTGGCGGGGGGGGGGGGGGCAGAAGAGGAGGGGCCAGGAGCGAGCCTCCCCAGCCAGGAGCTCGGGGGCCGGGCAGGATGGTCCCATTGGCTGGATGTGGCCCACGGGGCTGTAGTTTGCCCATCCCTGATGTAGAGGGTGTGAAATGCCGCTTTACTCCTCAGCACAAGTTATCTTTATCACAGGTCAGAGCACAGATGGGAGAGAATCCTCCATGGAGTTGCTGCTCCCCCACATCTACACAAGTAGGCAAGAAGTGGGCTGACACCGGTGAGGAATAATTGTGTCTTTGGTCTGCTATCCCAACATGCCAGCCAGTTCTCCAATAGCAGTCTGCTTCCCCCTGGAGTGAGAAGGAAGCCAGGAAGGGAGCTGTGACTCAGAGTCATAGTTCTTTCCCTGGTCTGCTCCTGGGACAGAGCAGGGTAGATTGAACTGTTACAATCTAATCGTACATCAGTGTTACTGAGTCTAATTATCAAACTGTGGTTTATTAATTTTCCTTCTTAACTCCTTTTTCATTCCTAGCTGTCTTTAGGAAAAAAGAGGGAGATCCTGATTTATTTACTCCAGATGCTTAAAATTTTTTCTTTTATTGTGCTTCTTTTTCTCTTTCTTTCATTCTCTTATTGTGATGATAGGAATCCTTATAATTAAATAAAAGCTTAAATTCTGCAAATTCTGAATGTGTCATGCATATGACATGCCTCAACGCTGCTGAATTCTCTTATCTTGTAAGGCTGATGCCCTCTCTGTTACTGCTCAATCAAGAAAATAACTTGCACTATGTTTGAATTAAAAAAATGGCAGTTTTCTATAACTAAGTTTTGTGGGTGTGCGTGTGCTTAGCCCAAAACTTAGGCCTGTTGAAATTTAAAAAAACAAAATCAAAGCTCATTTGATAAAGCAGCCTACACTGTATGTAAACATGGTTTTTTTAAATATACACACTAAATACATAGGCCCACTGAATCATCCAACTAGCAATGAGTTATAAAACTAATCTTGGATGAGTTTTATGGTCTATATTTAATTGATTACAAATAAATCCACAAGCCCAAGATCACCACCCCTCATTGCAAGGTACCACTTCCCAGGGAAAAATCTCTCTGAAATCAGTGAGTGTTGCAATATAAGCTGTAGCAATGCCAGCTGATCCCAAAACAAACAGATAATCACCCTTCCCCAGCTGAGGAGCCTTATAAATTAACTGAAAAACTGCTAGCTGAGACACGAACAACAGGAATCACATTCAGGTCTGCTACATGGCAGCCCAGATAATCACCTCTAGGCTTCCAGTCTGGTCCAAACCATGTTGTAATAGGCATATTCATATCACAATAGTCTATAATAAATAAAATATAAGACTTTGGATTTGCCTTTCATTCAAAGATTGCAAAACACTTCAACAAACATTATTGGTTTAATTTCTGAGAGATAAATATCCCGATTTTATAACAGGGGAAACTGAGAAAGAGAAAACAATGAAAAGAGACTGTGGCCTCACTCCCACTGAGGAATATTTATATTCCCTTACATAGGTAATTCTTGTGGAAGGGATGATTTTGCCCATTTTTTCCCAGCTACTATAAATAAAATGATATGATACAGATGATACACAATACACATATATATTTTTAAAACCTGCAGAATATTAGTCTCGGACAAAGTAATGTAAATCCAATGTACTTTCTCTTTATATGGGGTTATGAGAGGCTTATTTCCTCCCCCCCCCTTTTTTTTTTCCTTTTCTTTTTCTTGGGCTGGCCCACACTTTGCATCTCCTTTACACAAGATTTTAAAAATTCAAAGTTGAATTTCTGGAAGATTTATGATTTTTATTTTCAAATCAGAAAATTTTGCAAAATAAGCTAAAACCTCAAGGTGGCCAGCCAAAGCTTCTATGGAATGTTTCTTCAATGCCTCCTCAGCCAGTAACAGAGTTTACTTTGGCAATTATTGAAGTGAAGAATTATAAAACATTTCTAACTTACATTTCACATTTTAACATGAAAATACCACTTAGAATGTAGTTGAACAATCTTAGGAATCCAACGTCATGACAAAATGCCTCATGTTTAAACATTCTCCATGAAACTCTCAGTACACATCAGTATTTAATATAAAAGGTGAAAGGGGTATGAATTTCAATTTTCTGCTCCCTGTTTTCTACATGTTATGGCTAAGGAGTAAATTATATGTGTGGTGCAAGTGGTATTAAGAATAACCATAATGGTTTGTCCTCATTTAGCACCTCTTATCCCAAAATATTAAAGTGTTTTATAACAAGTGGTTTAGTATCATGAACCCCACTGACTAACAGAGAAACTGGGGCACAGAGAGTGGATTCCCCAAGGACACACACAGCAAGTGACACTGTAACAAACAGCAGCTGCATCTCCTGACTCCCGGTCCCCTCTTCTAACCCAGAGATAAACTGTCTTACTAAACAAAATTCCTATTAAATTAAGATATTGTATGCATAATTTCCTACATACAGCAGTGCACATTTACTCCTATTTTCTTTGTATCCTAGCTAAGAGAGAAACACTACAAGAAAGTGACCAAAATAGTAATGTATAGACACCACTAACAAAGGCAAGGATTTTTAAAGGTGCCTAAGGGATTTAAGTGCCCAAATCCAATTGAAATTCAATTGAAACTCTCTTTGATTCCTTTGAAAATCCCAGTCAAGACATCTATGATATCAGAAACAAGAAAAAAAATCCAGTTTGAAAAGGGACAGATTGAAAAACCAACAAAAAATTAAAATGTAATACTCTTAAAACTCAACCCAGTCTCTAGAAGAAATTTACTCAGAGAACTAAATTGTTTGTAAGGTATTCCATTCCAGGAAACATGATTCCTTTAAATCATATACTGATACCAATAACAGGTTGGGAAAGCAGCCCCGCTACATTAAAGATGTTTGAGCACATCCTCTAGCACAATAACCTTTAAATTTCAGGAATAGTTTACTACACGATGGAGGCAATCCCATGGTTACATCCATAAAACCTCCTTACAGGCCCCATATTCCCTTGCACCTTCTAGCATCTAGTTCTTTCTTGCTATTCTATCTATATGCTTATATGCCCCTCTTCACTGCAGTATCTGAGCACCACACAATCAATCATTAATGGATTTTTATGCTCACAACACCCCTGTGAGGTAGGGAAGTATTATCATCCCATCATCAGATTGGAAACTGAGGTAACGATAGGCCCAAACTCTGGGACCCTCCCATTGATAGGGTCCTAAAGCCTGAGCTTCAGCCCGAGCCCAAACATCAACATGACAGTTAAACAGCCCCTTAGCCCGAGCCCTATGACCTCAAGTCAGCTGGCATGGGTTTTTAATTGCAGTGTAGACATTCCTTCTGTTAACTGACTGCACATGTGTAATATATTAGTAATATCCTAATCCAGCCAAATGAAAACATTTTTTTCCAGCACAACCAAAGGCACTTCCTCTTGTGACAGCTATTTCTCTGCTAAAAGGTCAACATTCTGCCGTCATAGCCTGATGAAAAGCAGCTGATAATTCCTAGTTCTTGTAGAAGATAACTAGTTCTGCACAAGAACTGTTATTAACAGCTATGCATTTGTGAAAGAAAAACATAGGCAAATGTCAATGTGGCACTGCTAACTTGGGTGAATAGCTTATGACCTTTGTTTGACCCTGGTTATTGCAGACAGTATTAGTGAAAGAAGCAATCATAAATTAAATGACATTTAAGGTTTGAGCAATAATTCAAAAGCAGCTTTAGTCCTTTTCCAGCAAATGCTACAGAGGGCAGACTTCATAACAATTTCAATTACCAATTCTAAAAAAAGTCTATATCATATTTACTGTTCTAGACTCTTGAGAGCAGAACCATATTTCATATTCTGATAAGTGAAAATGAATGGAATCCATTCTCTTTTAGATGATTTTGTCCCTCTTGCATGTTATTTATGTTTATATTGTCCCAAATGCACACCTGAAACTGCATACTTAATTTTATAAAAGTCTGTTAATAAATAATTGTTTTAGTCAAAGCTTTTGAAAAGGCAACTGAAAAGTGAGCAGGCAGTTAGAAAATGGCTGTCAAGAACAACTATTGTATAGGGCTCAATCCTGCAGTCCGTGGGACAGATCCTCTGCTGGTGCATATCTATCAAAGACTATCATGTCTATCAAAGTCAATAGAGTTATACCAATTTACAAAGCTGAGGACATGACACTTTCAATTCAGTGGGAGTTGTGTCCAAGCAGAGGGTGCAAGAATAGGCCCATACTCCAAATATATCCTCACCAAAGAACTAATAGCAGTGATCTTGAAATCTCCTCCACAAAAACTGAACACACTGAAGTAAGTGAAATACAGTATAATGCAGCAGATGCCAGGAAAAAACAGGTACTCTTTCTTCTATTCTCCCTTCACCCTACCACATAAATCATGCAGACATGACTCATGCACAACAAGGAAAGTTCAAGCTCTTTAAAACAAGAAATATATGAATAGAAAAAATGTAATCAGAAGTAGATTATGAGAGCATGACAAAGATCCTAACGAACTTCACCTACCTCTTCCAGAGCAAGGTAAATTAGAGCTTCCTTGGCATTTCTTAGAGCTGTCCTCAGCTGACAATGGACAAGAACGTGGATGTTCACACTTCTTTCCAGTCCATCCTTTTTTACAATCACATCTTCCACAATTACACTGTCCATGACCTTTACAATGAATAGAATTAAAGTCTTCTAAGTCAGTCTCAATCAGGTCAATAGATACATTAAAGTTCAATGACAATAAACACAGTCTCTAATTTCTAAAACTCCACTTTTATTAAATAATTATCATGGGAAGAGGTTCAGTATAATCAAGTCATTGCACCTAAAATCAATATTTCCTGTATGGTAATAATAATGGCTGCCACACTGTTTGTGTTATCATATAGTTTCTCGACCGGGGTCTCAAACTCAAATGACCACGAGGGCCACATGAGGACTAGTGCATTGGCCCGAGGGCCACATCACTGACAGCCCCCCTCGCTGCCCCCGGCCCCACCCCCACTCCACCCCTTCCATGAGGCCCCGCCCCTGCCTCGTCTCTTCTCCACCTCCTCCCTTGAGTGCGCGGCTCCCTGCTCCTCCCCCCTCCCTCCTGGAAAGTGCTAAGTGCCACCAACAGTAATGCACCTCACTCAAAGGACAAAACATTCACTTAGATTTACTTCTGTTAACACCCCCCACACACACACACTGCACTGGGCTGCACCACCTGGACTCCACTCCTGCTCTGCCTCTTCCAGGGGTGGCAGGTTTGTAGAAATTTTGGTGGTGCCCAGAACCTGCCCCCCCCCCCCAAACTCCACCCCCACCTGCCTAAGGCTCTGGGAGGGAGTTTGGGTGGGGGAGGGGGTCTGGGGTGCAGGCTCTGGGATGAAGTTTGGGGATAGGAGGGGGTGCACGGGTGAGGGCTGTGGGGCTGGGGATCAGGGGTTTGGGGCATTGGAGAGGCTCGGGGCATTGGAGAGGCTCAGAACTAGGGCAGAAGGGAAGGGGAAGTGCAGCCTGCCCTGGCCATAGTGGAAGGGGGCACTAGGACCCTGCGGCAGCAGGTGATGCTGGAAGCCGGCAGAGCGGAGTGGAGTCAGCAAGAGCTGCAGGCTCCGGGCGGTGAGGGGGCAGCAAGTGAGCCCGGGAGACACTTGGGGGAGATGCGTGGGGGTGGCAGGCGGGGCCGGGGGAGAGACCCAGCCCCAAACATTGGGGAGCAGCGAGCAGGGAGCTTAGCTGCCACATAAAATAACTTGGGGGAGGGGGCGCGGGGAGCTTGGCGGGCCGCAGGGAAGAGCTCCGCAGGCTGCGTGTTTGAGACCCCTGTTCTCAAACTGAATTGAATCATTTTTCTTTTCTTAAAAAATACTGTAGCATCTGATGTACAGTATAAATCTTCATACACAGGACTGTTAACTAAAGAGGTAAAGACACTCAAATTTATTTTCTCACAACAATGAAAACCTTTAGCAGCAAGGCAACCATAAGACAACTTATACACTCACCACAACGCCACTCTCCATGCTTTATATCACTACCATCACAATACTCAGTCTTACCAGCACACAAATACCCTCCGTTCAGTTCAACACTACTATGACCCACAATACATATATAAACACATTGTAAATCACACTGCAGTGCAAGACCCTTACTCAATCTACTGACAATTGCAATATTATCTACCATGTCACATAGAAAAAGAATATGAAGTTCATGGCGTACTCAACATTTCATCCCTTATCAAAACCATACAACTTTACAATATATTTAAATAATTATTTTCAAAAAGTAGATCTACTTTATGGTATATTCTGCTTTAAAAAACTGACATGGAAATTATGTGATGCTGAATACAATTTGCCTTGGCCTACATCAACCACTCATTTGTGGTCAGCATCATGGGCTGTCTGAAGGACTGGAGGCAAGGCAGCGAGACTGAAGATCCGATTAAATCTCCTCTGCACATCCAGCAGAGAGAGTTCTAACTTGCACTCTAGCTTCTTCCATCAATCACTTAACGGGGCAGAAGCCTGGCAGAACAAAATATTCTAAGCATTGGGTGAAGAAAGCATGAGCATCAGAGTGACAGGGTGTATAAACCCCACACTGGTCAGGCGGGAGGGTAACCAATCACTTTTGGCAGAAGAGGCCATGCCCTCTCGCCCCTGCTGCACATGCTCCCGATGAAAGGCACAGATAAAAGGCAACTGGCCAGTTCAGTCGGGGCTGGCTGAAGAGGAGGATGGACGGGAGCAACCGGCTCCTGCTGAAGAACCGTCAGCTCTCCAGACTGCAGATGAGGGTAGTACAAGGGACCTCTGCCCTCAGGTACAGAGGCCAACAGAGACACCAAGCTGCTGCCCGTGGAGGATAAGCCCGCAGGAGACTCAAGGGTAGGAAGTGACCCAGGAATGTGTTGGGCGCCGACACTTGAATCTTCAATAAGGAGATCACTGGCTTCATAGGACCCTCAGCCAGAACCCGATAGAGTAGGGTAGGCCCAGGTTCCCTTACCCCCATCCCACACTTGCCACTAGGTGTTACCACTGAGGATCATTGATACAGACTGTTGGTTTGGTTTGCTCTGCCCCGCCTCGAGGGCAAAGGCCCCAGACTGTTATTGTCAGCCCCAGCCAGGAGGCTAAGAGCTCCAGACTGTTTGTTTGTTCTGCCGTCCCCCCTAGACCCGAGGGGTGGGGCCAGAAGTAGTACTGCCCTGCGAGCCAGGGCAGCACAGAGGATTATTTGCCATGAGATCCAACATCCTGGCAAGAAGATGTGACTCAGTGGGCCATGTCTGATATGACATCACGATTTGAAAAGGGGGCAACCCCCCCCCTTACACACTGCACCCCTGTGACAATCAGCAACATCTTTCTTCAGCAGCACAGTAAAGTTTGAAACAGGGGATAAATGCTTGTTTCATTAGACCAGCTCCCTGGCCAGCTCTGCTCCCAAGCACCTCAACCAGTCACCACCCACTGCTTTAAGTCCAAACCACTCTTCTTTTGTCCACTGTCCCATCTGGTTTTCTTCTTGCAAACTATAAGCACATATGTTTTATAGATCTAGTCTGACTACATTGAAATGTTTACACTTGCAAATACTATATGTCTAAAATGTATGCACTTACTAGTTTACATGCAGAAAATTGGAGGAGGCGGGGGCCAGGGTGCTCCCTCGGCTGACAGAAAGGCCAGCAGACCAGCTGCCATCCTGCAGGTGCACAGGAGGTGATTTTTCTTTATGTTTGTTAATTGTTTTTCATTTAAAAATGCTAAAGGCCGCTCTTCTGTCCCTTGTTGTTTTTGTGCACCTGCTGGCAGGCTGAGCATTGGCCATATGCCCCTGTGGCCCAGATGTGCATCTCTGAAAGGCTAATTCACTTTATTAACTCTCTCCGGCTAAAACAGCCATGTTTGCACTAACAAGATAGCAGCACATAGTCTATATGTGAATATGGGTGTTTTCATATGGGAAGGCTCATTTTGTTGTTGTTTTTTTCTTTCTATATCAGGATGTTAACATGATTATCTTTAAAGGAGGACAGTCCCTTGACAATGTGAACACCTCTAAGTGAAGATCACGCAGTTAGATACCAAACAGCATTAAACTCTTTAAAAGAGGACATCCAGTTGGCAACATGAAGTACTGTAAATTGCCAATCACCCCCAGGCAATGTGAAATCTCTTACGGGAGCTACCCTTCTGTGATGTTAAGCCTTAGCAGCAGGGCTCCCAATTCCCATGGTAAAGTCTTTGAAATGACTGGTGGCATTTCATTCAGTCACAGTAAAATTCTTATCTGCAACAGGGTTTCTATGATTCCAGTCCACTAATCTGGACAGGAAAGGTTTCCTACCTCTATCAATTAGGCAGGCAGAACAACATGAGAAACTTTTGAACCAGCTCAGCTCCCTTTATTGTCTATCAGGTTTGCCATTTTGCCTGGATTTTCCTCAATCTAAGTAAACCCCAGTGGATTTTTTACTAAAACACTGAAAAAAACTTGTTAAAACCTAAAAAAGTAACAGTTTTGAAAAGAAACATAGCACATATGCTTTGTGATTCACTTTGTAAGCACTGTTTTTCTGCAGACATAAAACAGTAAATATATTGTCAAAAATTAACAGCTTGAATTTTTTAAGTGCTTTCCCACATTATGGGTTTTGGTAATGACTTACACAGATGCAAAGTACCCTAGTTTGAACTGGGGTGAGTCACACTACTGAAAGTCAGTTTACATTGGTGCACTGTATCTAAGCTAGGGGTTTGCACAGTTTGTGAAAACAAGGCCCTGAATATAAGAACACAAGTGCAAAGCCTGTAATCTAGTTAGACATAACCCTCTTTTGTATTTACCCTTAGCTATTGATACACTTTTTTACCAAATTATTTGCTTTTTCTACAAGTGGAATATAACAAAGTTTCAATCAAATCAATTGCAGTGTGGTAAAACTCAATTGATGCTGATAGTAGTAAGTCTTAAAGATGGACAATATCCTGAATTCAATTGTCCTGTTTTCTGTTTAAGTGTTAGACACTTAGAGCTGATCAAAATTTCAACAAAAAAGTGGGAAGAAAAAAAGTCATAAAACATTTTCACAAATGCAGATCTTTTTTTCTCCTTTTCTGACCAGTGCTAGTCCCAACATTGTATTTCAAACATAGTTGTGGTTAAGAAATCTGGATCTTCACATTTATCATTAGTAGAGAAGAAAGGACTAGAGGGTTACATTTCACAATCTCAGTTTCAGCCTCCTCTTACTGCTCTAGGCTCCTTTTGTGATCTTTTGATTTGGGATCAATCATGCGGGGGGGAGGGGTAAGGGAGAGGGAAACTATAAACTTTTCAGAAGCTATTTTTAAAAATTATTTTGTTCTTGTGTGGTTCCAAATTTTTTTCTTAATTAGGTCAAGTCAGATTTCCACAGAACACTGCAGTATTAGTGTCAGACTGTAATCTGTCAAGTCCCTTTGAAGCTGCCTTCAGTTGCTTTTGCAAAATGTGTGCTTCTGTAGAGTCCCTTGGTGCACAAAACACATGCAATGTTTTAGTCAAAGTCTTCCTCATGTTTAGTGCTAATTTCATCGTATTTATGGTAATTGGATAAAAATGAAGAGGCATCATCTTCCCCAGAGTTCCACCAAGTGTCTCTGGGAAGCTGGGGCATCAATCCTTTTTCAGTCAACAAACCATGAGGATGTTGGTAGCTGAGAAAGAATTTTTGAACCTCCAGAAATGGGGTAGGACTGTGTTAGGTGTTATTCTTTCTCAACAAGGATTAAAATATTGTGCTGAGCACCCATACAGCTGAAGTTCTAGATGTCTGGTTCTGAGAAATGCTCTTATCTTTTCCCATTTTATTTTCTTATCTTAGCAAATAGCAAAGATCTTCTTGTTATACCCCACATTCTCGAATGGCATCTTGAGTATCTTGGACCCAATATTCTGAGGGGCAGCAAGGTACAGTTCAGAGGTAGATTCAACAGCATTTAATAGGAACACATATTTCCTGTATTGATACTAAAGTCACTACCATACCACTTTTTATGTTCTACCAACCACCTTGCATTAATAACAAATGTGGATTCTTTTAGTTTTTCCTTTATTTTTCCCCTCTGTCTCTTCATTTGCAGCAACTAGAAGTGACCCTGCAAGTTTCAATCTGTGTGGTAGAGTATATCCACAGTTAACAGCTTCAGTCATTCTTCAAATTGTTCATGCTATGTTGAACACGATGTACTTAGCATAACACAAATGGGTGCTTACAGTTGGGCTCCTTCATTCATATTTAGACAAGCTGGTCAAAAAGTATGTTTTGTGGAAAAAAATAAAGATGAAAGATTTTTAGTTTCATTTAATTGTTTCACAAAATAGCATGTTTTTTATTTTAAAAAACCTACCTACTTCCAATAAAATAATTAGAGTATGAGCCCTAATGTCTGCTGAGCAAAAATTACACTAAAGGAATAGAATGAGGAGTAAGAGCAAGCCAACTGGACATTCCTTCTTCCAAAATTAAATTCAGACATCTTGTTTACATTTATATATGCCCCTTACCTGAACAGAAGTCATCAGAATATCTGTCATACACTGCCTTGCAATTTCTTTCATCACACTCACAGGTATCTCCATGAATATCTCCCCAGTCACCAGTTGGGTCCACATCATGGCATGTGCATTCACCACATATACACGTGCCTAAGGAAAAAATACAGAGCAGAAATGGGCCTACCGCTACCAATGGGCATGAATAAGAATCAGTGTAGGAATTGAAACTTGTTGTTTTGCCTTCACAAAAGCTTTGTGAGCACAGGGTCACTGTTTCCAATGCTCATTAGTTAAAAATGTATGCAGTGGCTTCCATTGTCTCCAGCTATCTTACTCCATAAAGGAGCTTAATTGCTTCTTCCATTTAGTCTGAAAGAAGGGCAGCTACCACATCCATCAGTTTCAGCAAGGTCTGTGATTGCCCACAGTTCAAAGTCACGTTTGCTGCAGCCACCAGCACCCTCCACTACAATAATAGGATGTATTTGAAGAGAACTGGACTGGATGAATCGATATTATAGACACTTGCATAGTTCATTCAGCGAAAAGAATGTTAAACTCTTAGAGTGGAAAAATTATGTAATGATGGTGTAATCCCAAACAATAAATTTTTAGAGTGACTTTGCATCAGCTCTCCTAGATATTCAGTATATATCAAAATATGTAAACTGGGAACACTGATCAAAAACCTATTAATAAAGTGAGTAGAAATAGCTTTATAAAGTCAAGGCATCCTGAAGTTTCATGTGGACAAAATCATAAATACGTGAAAAGTTAAAAAGAATTCTGGAAATAGTATTGGACAGGTAGTTCCCTTGTGCATCCTGCAGAAGTTTGCAGCTACCAGTTATACTGGAGCAGTGCAAATGAGTGTAACGATAAAGAAATGCTTGCTAGGTAACACATCTTAAAATTCCCTTTGGTAAGATATCACTATTACAGTGCAAATAAAATATCTAATTTGACACATAATGTTTCTATATTTATTGTTTCCTGTATTACACAAGGTTTTTTTTAAAGTTAAAGCCCAAAAATTAAATGAGCCTACATTCTTTCTGTATTTGAGCCAAGCGTTCAATTTCCCCATAATTAAGATGAGAGGGTTTTCTAAATGCTTTCAGAATAATTAGGTGCTCATACTATAGCAGGTTTTGTCAGTAGAGATATATTTAAGAAAGGTTTCTATGAGACTTGCACTTTTGCTCTTCTGTAATAGTTCTGGATTGCAGCCAAAGGAATAACATTCTCACTTTGAACTATTTGTTCACTGAAGCCAAGTATAGCAGCTGGTGAATACAAATCTCATTTTTTTCATTATTTCTTCCCAAATTGGCAAAATTAAATGGAAATTATGGATGAAATTCAAGTGATTGGACTTTGTGCAAAGAACTACACGTAGTTAAAAAAATCTATCTTCCAAGGCCATGAGCAGGCCCTCTTTGGTTGCTGTTCCAGGTTCTGAGATGAAATAATGACCACTGTTCTTTCATAGCCCATATTCAGGGGTTTGGGGAACCCAGGATGAGTTATCTGCCCATTACCCATCCAGTGCAGCCTCATTGTAGGAGCAAGAGGTGAAAGGGACTTCCCATTCTTGGGTCAATTTCATCTTATACATACATATTTTACATATACATATGTACACACATATGTATATAATAGGAAATATGTGTATTCATATACACAAACATATTCATACATGCATACATAAATGTATGTTTATGTGTACACACATATACACAGATGCCAAATTTTAAAGATTCATGTCCAGAAGTGAAAGGAGAGCAAAACCAAAAACTATTTCTAAAAATTATGACCTTTGTCCTAGTGCAGAATAAATGCACGCATAAAATATGCGAATGACACACCTCTGTTGCTGCAGATTTTGCCATCTGGAGATGTGCATCTTTTCTTGATCTCCCATGGGGTGATGTCACACTGGAATTCACATTTATCTCCATGCCAACCAGCCTCACAGTAACAGTTTCCACAGTAACACTTTCCATGGCCTTAACCCAAAGCAAATTTTATACAGTGAGAAAAAGGCAAGTTTTTAAAAGAGCATTAACAATCTAACCATTTTTACTAATTTTCCTCTTCATCCTTGCAGTGTTATGATCACAACTAAAGCAGTTGACAGATTTTATTTCTGAATAAAATAAGATTTCTACAAAAGCAATTAATTATGTTGTATTGATATACCGCCATAAACCTATTTTACAAATGTTCTTCATTTGTAATACATAAATAAATAAATAATAATAAAATTAAATTTAAATGTATTCTTTTTACTTAATTCTTGAGTATGGATGGGTAAATTTAGTAGATCATGAATTTAACAGAAAAAGTAAAGAGCAACTTTAAATACACTACTGTGGCTCAATCTCTCAATCATGAACTACAGGGTACTGTGCACTTGCAACTTCTAAACAATGGGAGTTGGGGGAGCTCAGCCCCTTGCAAAATTCACTCCATGGGGTTCTGTGCCAGTGGAGGGCTCCACCTGTGCTGAGCAGCTTGCAGGACTATGGCTTTTGTTTGTAACTATTTTAAACAAGGAAAGTATGGACATAGACAAATCAGCTCTTAAAATTAAGAACTAGCTGGAAGATCAATCCCTTCCATGAATCAAAACAAACTTTTAACAAATTCACCTAATATCCCTCCCCCACCTTCAAAATCCTGAACAGGTCCTACCTTTGGTCATTTGGGACTTAATCCTACAAGTTTGTAAGCCCTCTGATCCAATCTACCAGAGCACCTAACTTTCAGCAAGTGAATAGTGCAGTGACTTCAATGGGAGTACCCAAGTGTTTAAAGTTAAGCATGTGGGACACTTCATGTGCTCAAAGTTAAGCATATAGTTAAGTACTTTGGTGAGCAGAGCCAGGACCTTGCAGGATCAAGTCCTTTCTCACTGTACTATGAGTGTCAGACTCAACAGCCCCAGCAATCTCTGCAAGAACTGGATCAGCTGCTATCCTCAAATATCTCATGTTCATTTACTATCAACAGTGCAAATTTTGAATTGTGACATGTACATTTTACAGTCAAACATGACATTTCCATAGCTGTCAACCAATTAAGGAAAAGAAACAGTTCTGTATGACTTATGTAACTAACCAACCCAGAGCAAATTTCGCATTTCAAATATTCACAATGAATTGTTCATGAAAGCAGATCAAGAATTATTTCTGAACAAATTTGTGAATAATTTCTAAAACTAAATACATTTGAGAAATTGGCCATTTTTTGCAGACACTTCACACTGGTAGAAAGGAAGCTAAATTTGTGAACTAAATTGTTATAATTTTTTTGATCATCTCTATCTTTGATTATAGAGGGCTCATGGAATGATTCCACATCATCGGCTACAGTCTGCACCCCCTGCCAATCATCTTGTGACTGGGTGCCACTAGAGCACAGATGAATAGGCAAGCGAGTGTGGATGGCACAATGCAAACCATCACCATTGAAAACAAGTCACGTGTGTGTTCTGATTACAGGGCAAAGTTTTATTAACTGTCTTATGGCTGTTGAGGCGCAGAGACTGAGTCATAAACAGCAGCAGACTTGGCAGGCGTAATTTCTAATCCCTTTCTCAGCATCAAACTACCTACATACTTTATTTGGAAAGGACTGTCACTTGCGCAGTGGTCTTTTTAGCCACAACTATGCTCACAAGACGTAAAACCATCATCAGCGTCATCTTCAGTCATGAAGGATAACAACCACTTTTGACCTCTTCTTTTTTCCCCCTCACACTCATATATACTCAGAACTAGTATGAACTACATAATTTCATCTACAGTTATCTTGGAGTGGATCTATGGTTCCTGACTGAAGACAATGCTGTTCTATGACGACACAACAACAAATTGCAGGATCAGAGTTTAGTTAGCTATAATATGGTCCATGTTAAAAATCAGGCCGTATCTTTGCGAAACTGAATATGAAATCCCTATGGCTAATCCCCCTGTGACAGGGCATCTGCCCCACACTAGCCCATAAAGGGTTAATAGAACCCTAGGGAGGCAGCACAACAGACAGCCAATGGGAGAGGACCCTAGGGAGGCTATGCAGGAATCAGCCAATTGGAGAGGGCTACGAGGAGCAGCCAATCAGGGCCAAGCAGGCCCATATCAGAAGAGCTGCAGGGCAGAGAAAGTCAGTATCTCCCTGGAGGAGGACTGGCTGCCTTGCAGGTAGAGGGGAGCTAGCACCTTGGACAGAGCAGTGCTGGGCAGGATCAGGGGAGCGAGAGTGAGCTCCTGGCTCACTGCTGACATGCTAGGGCCCTGAGACAAGGGCGGAGAAGGTGCTGGGGCTGTGGGGAAGTGGCTCAGGGTAGTAGACTGTGGGGTTGGAGGTGATGCAGCATGTGGCTGACATCTACAGGGGGTCCCTGGGCCAGGACCCGGAGTAGTGGGTGGGCCCGGGTCCCCCCCACCCCATTCACCATCGAGAGGAAGTGGATGAACAGTGGACTGCCATTCCCCCGGAATGGGGGGAGAACAGAGTGTGACATAGCCAGAGCGCTGTGCTCTGAAGAGGACGCTGTATCCTTTGGGACGACATGCATCTTGGAGCCGAAGTGACAATGGTGGGAGGAATCACTGCATTCCATTGGTCAGCCACTGCCCGCCACAAAGCCAGGCAGCCCCCCGGACAGTTAGGTGCTGACCCGCCACAGTCTGCCCTCCTCATGGAGTGTGTGAGGCTAGACCAGAACTTGAAAAGCAGATGGAAACCTTGCACCTGGCAAAAATAAGAAACCAAGAACTTTCCGGCTTGGCAGCTAGAATGTCAGGACCAAATGTCCGAGATTGACAGACAATGACAACCTACAATACACAAGCACCATACTGAAGTCAGCTTTGATAGACTGTGAGCTGTACAAACTCAATGTTGACACTGCAACACTTCAGGAAACAAGACTTGCAGATGCTTGTCTAAGAGGCCAATTACATCTTCTTTTGGTAAGGTAAAAGCAGCAAAGAAAATCCTCTGCACGGTGTCAGTTTTGCTGTGAGAAACAAGGGGGTAAAGCTCCTAGAAACACCCATTGAGAAGTCAGAGTGTATCATCTCGCTTAAACTTCAGACGACCATCGGCTCTGTGAACATCATTAGTACCTATGCACCAACACTCAAATTTAGCCCTGAGGAGGATACATTTTACCACTCTTTGCATTAAGTCGTCAAAAGAAAAGCATCAACTGAGCAACTTCTCCTCCTTGGTGATGTTATTACAAGAGTCAGTGCAGACAACAACTCATTCATCTTGCCAATGCCAAAATGTCCTAGGCAATCTGGCCATGAGAATGGCCAACGACTTCTTGAATTCTGCACCCAAAACCAAATGTGCATTACCAATTCATATTTTACAGGAAAAGATCACCACAAAGTGTCCTGGCGACATCCACGATCAAGCCACTCGCACCAATTAGACCTTGTTATCATCAGGAGAAAAGACCTACCCTTAGCGCGGAACACTTGCACGTTCCACAATGCTGATTGTGACACTGAGCACTCCTTGGTTATTAGCGAAGTGAAGATTACAGCCAAGATACTACAAAGAGCAAAACCTAGGAGCAAGCCCAAAATCAATGCTATTAACACCAAAATGCCAGGAGTTTGTGCAGGCTTTTGAACTTAGCATACATGGGAAGTCATTACCAGAGAAAACAGAGGAATTTTGGGAGGATTTAAGAACAACAATCCATGAAACAGCTTTATCTACATTTGGGGGAAAGAGACCATCAAAAAAGGACTAGTTTGAAGAAAATGAGTGGAACTATTAACTCTCATCAATATTAAGAACACAGCCTATCTGGAACACAACAAGAAGCCAACAGAGAGCACAAAAGTGAGACTTTGACATGCAAAAACCGAGATGCAGTGAGCAAGCAGCCGCTGTGCAAATCATTACTGGATCAAGCTCTATGAAGAGGTACAGACAGCCTCAAAGTCATGTATGATGGCCTGAAGAAAGCTTTAGATACACTGTCAACAAGGCTGCCCCTCTCAAATCGCACAGCGGTGAAATCATTACAGATAAAAGCAAGCAGTTGTCTCATTGGGTTGAACACTATTCAGAGCTATACACACAAGAAAGAAACATCACCAGCGAATCACTGGACCAAATGCCAACTCTACAGGTCATGCCAGAGCTAGATGTGGAGCCCACTGTAGAAGAGCTAAGCAAGGTCATTGATTTTCTATCAAGTGACAAGGCTCCTGGAAAAGATGGCATCTCAGCGGAAATCAACAACTCCAACTCGCTACTATCTCGCTACTAAGTGTAGCAGGAAAAGCTTTTGCAAAAGTCATCTTAGTGCACCTACAACAGCTGGCGAATCGTGTCTACCCTGAATCACAGTGCGGATTCAGGGCTGGAAGATCAACTATAGACATGATATTTTCTCTGCATCAACTCCAAGAAAAGTGCAGGGAGCAAAACTGACTATTGTACATTGCCTTTGTGGTCCTAACCAAAGCATTTGACACAGTCAGCAGAGCAGGTCTACTAGCAATACTAGAAAAGATAGAATCTCCTCCAACTCTGTTCAGTCTTTTACGTTCATTCCACAACAATATGAGAGCAACTGTCCAGTTTGACGGGTCCACTTCAGACAGCTTTGAGATGAAAAGTGGAGTGAAGCAAGGATGTGTTCTTGCCCCTACACTCTTTGGAATCTTCTTCTCAATACCCTTGAACTGTGAGTTTAAGGACATGGAAGATGGAGTCTATCTCCACACAAAATCAGATGGGAAACTCTTCAATCTGTCCTGACTTAAGTCAAAAACCAAAGTCAAAAAGGTGCTAATCAGGGAACTTCTATTCACTGATGATGCTGCCTCATAGCCCGCAATGAAGATCTATTACAAGAACTCATGGACCGCCTTTCAAGTACCTGTCAGGAATTTGCTCTCACCATCAGCATTAAGAAAACAGTTGTATTAGGACAGGGGGTTCAATCACCTTAAATGCAAATCAGCTAGAAGTAGTCCAAAAGTTCAGCTATTTAGGTTCTACAGTGACCACCAACCTCTCACTGGATGAAGAACTAAATGTTTGCACTGGAAAGGCTGCCACTACATTTAGCAGACTAACTAAAAGAGCATGGAGCAACTCAAAGCTTACCATCAAGACCAAACTGCTAGTGTACCAAGCTTGCATCCTCAGCACTCATGTATGGTGGGGAAACATGGAAAACTTATGCTCATCAGGAGAAAAGGTTTAACAGTTTCCATCTATGTTGTTTACACTACATACTCAACACCAATTGGCAAGATAAAGTAATCAATGCAAAGGTTCTTCAAAGTTCTTCGACTGCGCTGGCTGGGCCATCTGAGTAGGTTGGAAGACGGATGCATACCCAAGGACATGCTACATGGGGAGCTATCAGAGTGAACAAGAACAATAGCCCAAGCTTCGCTATAAAAATACATGCAAGCGAGATTTGAAGGAATTTGGAATTGATCCTGACCAATGGGAAATCTTGGCAAGTGATCATAACAAGTGACGCCATCATCTCCATCAGGGTATCAAAGTCCATGACAGAAGCTAGCTCCTACGGCTTGAGATGAAAATTGCCCATAGGAAGCAAGCAGCTCCCAACAAAGATACATATATTTGCAATAACTGCCAAAGATCATGCAAATCTTGGCTTGGCCTATTCAGTCACATGAGACATTGCAAACCATCTACATCATAGGCTGCGATTCCCACCGTCTCTCGCAGATGAAAGGATGCCAACACATGTCTGTTTTCTCTATTTGGGGTCCAGCCTTGCAACTGCAACTGCACATGCTTAGCTTTTAACACATGAGGAGTAGCTCTATCGATACCCCCAGCACAACTATTCATGTGCTTAAAGTTAAGCTCGTGCATAAGTTTGAAGGATAAGAGCCTTAGTTTGCAAGGTCTCCAAGACACTATTCCTGTCTTACTGTTTGCAATATCAACTTTAATTGGGTCCTGATCCTGACTGGGGTGTTTGGGTCCTGGTATAATGTAACCAATTTCCATAGAGATGAATTAGGAAGTCACAAACACGAAGGGACGTGGTTCACTAGCACCCTTCTCTGGTAACTCTTGAATTCAACAGGCACATCAACATAAAATTGGAGTTTTACAGAGGTAAATCTAGTCCCCGGTTGGATTATGGCATCACTGAATGAAACGAGGGTAGGGAAAAGGAAAAAGCTTTATAATGAGACACCACACTGATGAGAAAGGATACACAGAAAAATGCAACAGGAGAGTTTAATGGGGTTTTGTAAAATGTCAAATGATATCAAATGTAATAAAGTGTGGTATTTTCTCTTCACACTTGGTATATAAAATAAAATATATATTGAATCACTGACATATATCCCTCCCCAGCTTTTACTTTGGCCAATTATTTGATAAATTTGGCCTGCATTCCCAGAATATGGCTTCTTTAGAGGGTCATATTACTATCATCATTTTAAAAACCAACTTATTCCCTCCCAAGAGCAGCATGGAGAGTTAAACAAATAGAAATTATTTTGGTATCTATACACATATGGGTAAATACAGATAGTAATACATATTTGCAGTATTATGGGAATGAATTGGGTCCCCTTGTGTATGTGTGTGGGGGGGTGTTACTCCTTTCTAATCCCACTTGTCCCAATACTGTACTTCTCTGTTTTTAATGTATCCCCTCAGTCTCTCCCTCTTTCTTCCATCCTCGCACATATCCACTTCCATGCACCTCACTTGTTAGAAAATTAGCTGCTTTGTGGTAGTATGCACCCTGGCTCCTGCTTCTCTTCATAAAAAGAGACAGTTTCTCAGGGCTACTATGTTCCTCAGATGATTGTTCAGCCCACTTGCTCATCTGAAATGTCTACTCACCCTTCACAGTAGGTATTCATGCTATTTATCTCTTTGTCTCTCAGTGCATGCATGCAATAAAGTCATTTTATAATTCCAATAAGTAAAAATCTGAAATACTGTATTACTCTATTGCATGTCTCAACCAGCTTTGACTGATTTCTTATTGTACTTATTTACGAATGCACTTACCTGTACAGATCTCTCCTGTTTCATCATCTATGCATTCTCGGTCATCACACTCACAAAATTTACCGTAGATGAGTCCATTCCCTTCCGAATTCTCACACTTGCATCTACCACATTGGCATATGCCTGTAAACATTCAAAAAAACACTCTCGTGATTATAGTTAATAAAAATAATAGTTGTTGCTGTTTTAATTAATCCAACAGTGGTTTTATACGCCTTATTGCTGAGCTCACTGAAAACTTAAGATAACCCAGGGGATCAGGGGAGTCCATCTGAAGTGTAAATAGATTTTTTTAGGTGTCTCACTCTACAAAGAATAAAGAACCATAACAAGAAGTATCATACTTCTCTAGAGCCAAGTAAAATTCACCTCCAGGGCTGTCTGTCAACAGCTACCCCAAAGGCATCATAAAATCCACAAACATGAATGCAACATTCTCTTTCTCTCATGAAGGAAGAAAGTTGAATTCTACACTACCAGTTTCTCAAGGATGGAATCTGACTTTGTCCAGCTCAATGGCCATATGGCAACAGACGAGCATGACAGCACACTTGAGATCCTAGAAATAACATTGGAAGCATCCCCTCAGTATATTTAGAGAGTCCCACAACATCCTAATATCCCCTACTCAATCATAATTTGGAGAATGTGGTCCCAATGTAGTGAGATGGGGAAAACCCCAAGAAATCAGTCTGAATTAATTTTGGGGGAGGACAACGTGCAGTAAGAACTCATGCTTAGATGTGAGGGAAGAGGACTCAACTTTATATAGTAATTATCACAGCAATACCTTTAATTTGCCAACTGGCTAGCTAATTGCAGTGAAAATGTGAAACAATCAGCAAGTACTTTACCAATATATAATTAGAAATGGCTAATACAACTGTGAGCTTTTTCTGCAAGGATGTACGTTACAGGGATAGTTGACATAATACTGGAGGATCGATCCCTCATTCACTGATCTTCAACTTTTCTGCAACATTCCTTGGTTACGAGAGAAGGTTCCTTGTCCTATTAATGTAGTTTTCACTAGGCTCGGCAAACCAGTCAATTAACTGTTCAAATAACGTCAAATTATCAGTCAATTGATTGCCTATAATTTGGCCATGGTCAAATACTGTAAAATATTGCAGCAAGAATACCCTGATATAGGTGGCAGTCTATCTTTTGATGGCATCGTGGTGCCATTCTTTCATTTGTTAGATCTTAAGTTCATTGTTTTGCATTTTTCTGAGTTAAAATAACTCACGTAAGCAATTTAGGGCTTAAATAACAAAACAAAACAAAAACTTGTGGAACTAACATAACATCTGCTGATCATCATGCTGATGACTCTGCTCATATGTTATAGCCCTTTCCTTTTCCCTGCTGGTGCATTGAGACCACAGCTCATCATGCTGGACAATACTGTCTTATTGTCTCCTTGTACTCCCCCATCCGTCTGTCTACATCCATCTGTTGTCTCTTGTCTTAAACTGTAAACTCACTGGGGCAGACGCTGTCTTTTTGATCTGTGTTTGTACAATTCCTAGCATAATGGGGCCCCAGGAACTACCACAATAAACATAAGAAAATCAGCAATTTGCATTCCAAAGTTATCTAGGAGTTTGCGTCAGCTGTGTTCATGCCTCTTGTGTCTTTGCTTTCCACCAAAATTCAGTAGATGAGATTACTGGAATAAAAACTGGTATCCAAAGCAGCACATGTAAGCTAATAATACATGATACTATTGCAGATATCAATTTTTAAATTCAGATTTGTATTTACAATAGAAACTAGACTGAGTGTCACACTCGTTCAGACAGGGAATAGAAACATGCCATGTGATCTACATGCCTAAGCTAAACAACTTGAATTTAAAAACAATGACAAGAACTTGATTACAAATAAGCTACAGATCTAGAATTATTTGTTGAAGTTCATTAGCGAACAATGTCGAATAATGAATAACTTCAAGAAAACTCCAATTTCTCAGCAGATGATTCACAAATAGAAAAGGAGAAAAAATGTATTCATTACAATTTATTCAACCAGCTTATGCACAACTGTGTGCATGCATTTATAGAAAATGTATTGGGCAGTTGGGCTCCTATCATCATGGTAGGCTTGTGTTTTTGAAAATATATATATATTTCTTTCTGCTTCAGATATGAACCCTAGAGTCTAAGAATAAAGCAATGAAAGTCAACTCCCTGAGTGAAAGACCCGGTGCCTAACTGGGCAAGTACTTGCAATAAATACACGATGATATCCTTCCTACTTCAGTGTCACACATATATCAGATACCTGTTCCAGGTGCTAGGCAATCTGACAAATATTTAAAAAAACATAGTCCATAACTAAACAAAATGATAGGAGCAGCCCAGTGGCCAAACGCGCACAACACCAATCATAGCCAGTAAACAAAAGACATTACAAAACGAAAACATTCCTGCCTCAAGTCCCACAACCTACTCCAAATCGTTCCAATCTCAGCCAGCTCAAATGGCTGCTCAGCTGGTTGGGCTTTTCAGTGAATCTCAAAAATGAACAGACTCAGGCCATCTCCAGCCAAGAGATGCAGGAGAGTGAATTCAAAAGGAAAGAGGGGGCTTCAGCTCATGCATTTCAGCTGATCACAACTGATGATGTCTCATGTTGAGAGCCAAACCCTCATTTAGGTCTTTATCAAAAACAGTATTTTAAACTCCACCCAGAAAGAAACAGGTAGGTGGTGCAGATCCTGGAACACCTCACAGAAGAATGCTCTGCTTAACATTTACACATATATGTGAGTTATTTGTGTGTCTAATTTAAACATGTGTGTATGTTATCTGTTTCCACAATTGCTCGAGCCGCCTTTGATAATCCGGGTCTAAATGATGTTTAGCAAAGAGGGAGCTGTGTGGATGTAGCTTTATAACCAAGTCGTGGTCCTTCTCTTGTTCAAAGTGGTAAGTCAGTTACTTTGTTTTTGTAGTTTCTCTCATCTCTCTCTCTCTCTCTCTGACACATTGGGTCATGGCTCATTTCTGGTGTAAGACTTGATAATGACTCTCTATTGTTCAACCCTTCCCTTTGCCCATCAATATCTCAATATCTGACAAGATGTAGGAGAGTGTTTCGCTACTGCATGAAGAAAATACCAAAACATGACAATATAAACTGACTACATAGAACAAACCTAGGTCCAGTAACCAGATATCTTTCACAAAGAGAATTTCCACAACTCTGGGTTTTACTGTCATGTTTTAAGGTGCACCACTTGAGGAAAGAGGCAGAAACTAAAGGTTTTTGTATAAACAGAAAAGCAAAAGGAGAGAGAGTGCAGCTCTGATTACAAGAAAACCTAGTCTTTCATGAGAGCTTTGCCTGCACACAAACTGCCTCCCTTTTTAAAATTGAGCTCTCAGTCTTACCCTTAAACAGCTGATTGAGTCTCCACCAAACAGTCCTGCCTTAATTTCTCTCCTGCCTATAGTCAAGTAACAAGTATCATGTCAAACATGGATTAGATTCAGCTACGATAATTCCTAGTACTTTTGCAGTCTATGTTATCTCCAGCAAAGGAATGACAATGCTTAGTCATTAGTTTAGTGCCAAAATGCCAAAATGAGTAAGAGAACTATCCTGTAAGTATAAAATTACATACGTGTATGGGCTTAAATGTAAATTAAAATACTGGCAATGTTGGGCAAAAGTGTGAACTTGGCAACTCCTCCCACTGCCAGATTCACATAGAGATTTGTGAATGTTAATCAGCAGAATCTGATTTCAGTTCAGATTGCCTGCAAATGTCCACCAAAATTTTAAGGCTGTGCAGCTGGATCTTCAAGATAGTTGTATCTTCCCCTGTTTATCTACTTGGTAATTCCCACTGAGGTCAGCACGAATCATAAAACTTAAACAAAGGATAAAAAGAGTTACAACAGCTCAGAATGTAGAAGGGTTTTGGCTGGAGGGTCCATAACCAAAATTACATGGCAAATGTTTTGTGATAGCAAGTTTTAATAATCAGTGTTAAAGCTCCTGTTTAAATTTCCAGAAGGGATGTTTGCAAATGCCTCCTTTGCATCTGACCAAAACAAAAACATCTAAGCCCCTCTCAGTGTAAATGTTGTTACCACATCCTTTTGAGGAGTAAAACATCTGGCACAGCTGGAGTCTTCATCAATTTAAAATAGTTATGGATGAGCCAGAATACTAAAGAAAGCATTTTGAGTACACTTTAGAGGTAATTTAAAAGTCATACAAATATTTTCACATAAATCCTTATAAAAAGTTTAAACTAGCATTGCATATCATGTCTAGCAATCTGCATACTACAGTTTAGGTTACATTTTTCCCACTGATTTTTCTGGATGAAGAAGTTATTCAGAACAGCTGGAGTCCACATCAATTTCAAAGGAAAGACTCAGCCTGCTGACTCATTTTCATTGTATTATCTGAATTCCGTTACACACACACACACATGCTGACGAATAGAATTTCACAGAAGTTTAGTATGTCTCTATAAGTATACCAAGCAAGCTTTAAAACCATATTCTGTGAAGTTTTAATTAAACCATGTCAAATGTCATCACAATATACAAGGTAACACAGGAAGAACTTTAACCATTAAGGAAAATATCTTACCTGCATTAGAACAGATAATATCTTGAGAATTCTTACACATTTCATTGCTCTTCTTCCGTGTAAGGTTGCAAGTAGTTGGGTACTGACAAGAGTCACCATACCAGCCTTCATCACATTTGCATTTCCCACAATCACACTTTCCATGGCCTAGGAATTTAAGGAAACAGTGTCAAAATCAGTTATCATTCTAACTCATCTTTTCTAATCTTCTTTTTAAAAAAGCTACAGTTGCATCAAAAACGTTTAAAGATGACATCCTTAACAGATTCTCTTTAAGTCACATTTGAACAATTATAAACATGACTGCTTTTCTAAAAGCTGGAAACAGTTTAAATTAACTTTGAAGAGAGATTTTAAATGTATGTAACTTTAGTTTCAGAGTGCATTATTTTGATAGTCCTGAATGGCTATTTTAAAAAGGGATTACAGAATTAGACTACTAGTACATAAACAATATTTATAGCCTGAAAACCCTTTTTTTTTAGTATTTTAATTGCTAACCATTATTATCTCAAGAAAATGATTGCAAGAGCTTCTGATAGTGTTTAAAGACAATGGGATGTATATTTCATGAGTAGCATGAATATCATTGCTTGGTAGGTTAACACTGCAAGAGCTTCAAGGACCAATGCAACTGTTTCTTCCATCAACAGATGGTATGGTGTATATCAGCGGAGATCTGTACACTACATGTCTTTTGCAATATCTTGCAGAGCAAAGATATTCATGTGAACTGTGAGCAAAGTCCGAACAGTCGTTTTTTTTTTTTTTGCTTAGACAGTTCGGCCAGGAGCAGGGGGTGCATGCTCAAAAACTTTTTACTGATGGGGATCTAGACCAGAGTAAGAGGGGTAAGACATTTGGTGATGCCTCTGCAGCACCCAGGGAGGAAGTCTGAGTGCATGTCTACACTACAAAATAAAGTCGACTTAATGTAATTTGACCTCGAGCCTCTGAATTAATTAAGTCGATTGTGCGTGACTACACCATGCTCATTGTGTCGGTGGAGTGCAATTCACAGTTGCTGCTGGCAGTCTCAGAGCAGCTGCACACGGTTGAGCACTGTTTCTGGTCACATGAAACAAGCTCTGACTGATGGGACCGCATCATTTTGCAGGTATGGGACGACGAGCAGTGGCTGCAGAACTTTCGAATGCAGAAGGACACTTTCCAGGAACTTTGTGCAGTGCTTTCCCCAACCCTGCAGTTCAGCAACACAAAACTGAGATCTGCTCTGACAGTGGAGAAGCAAGTGGCGATCGCTGTATGGAAGCTTTCAATGTCAGACAGTTACCGGTCAGTGGGGAATCAATTCGGAGTAGGTAAATCAGTGGTGTGTAATCTGCAGCCTGTGGACTGTAAGCAGCCCGTCAGGGTAATCCGCTGGTGGGCCACGAGACAGTGTTTACATTGATCGTCCACAGACACGGCCGCCTGAAGCTCCCAGTGGCCGCAGTTCATCGTTCCCGGCTAATGGGAGCTGCGGGAAGCGGCGTGGGCCACAGGGACCTGCTGGAGGGAGGTTGTGAGCCAGGCGATGCTGATTGGCTGTTCAGCAGGGGCTGCAGAGGGACTCTACCCTCCTGCGTCTATTCCTGCAGCTCAACCAGACACCTCAAAATGACTGATTGGTCCCTCATAATCTGAAGCATCTCATCCCGCATGCCATGCTTATGCTCCTGGGATGCTTTCCTGCTCTCCATGTCCACATCTAATTTCTCAGTCAGTGAAATCCTCCAGGCTCTGAGCTGTGTATCAGCTATCCCTGAGGTGTTCATTATCTTGGTGAACATGTCCTCCCGTGTCCTCTTTCTCCTTCTTCAAATCAGTGAAGGTCTCTGTACAGGTGTTGATAACACAGCGAAGGACACATTTCCCAGCTTTAAGGCATGAAAAAGAACAAAGCAACCACTGTAAATGCATACAATGTTTCCAGAGCAAGGCTGTTTTTATAAAAACAAAAACGAAATTCAAACCCCTTATTATGCTAGGTGCAAGCCATAACATAATCAGAATCCCTACCTATTCAATGAGCTGTTTTGCTGTTCCAGCCATGGTGAGTAGGCCCCTTGAGTCAGGGGTGACTGAACTTTTCCTGAAGTTTGTGGCAGACTTATGTCAGGAGCATAGATAGCTAGTTGAACAACAGCCCTTCCCCCTAGCAACATGGGATGTTGTTTAAGAACAGGGGGCAGGGAGTGTTTTCTCTCCCAAATTGCGAAATTTCACATTGGGGGGCCTCCGAAAGGGTGGGAGAAAAACACAGGAAGCCCACCCCCAGTCTGGTATCAGCCAATTGAACTACATGGCGATCCATGCCAAGCACATTAAAGGCAGCTTGGTTTGGCGATCTGGAATTCATGCGGGGTGGGGGTATACATGCTCTATTGTTTGTTGTATGAGCACTTTTAATGAAAACTTCCCTTGTTTCTTCTAGGTGACCCTATGTGATATCAGTCTCCTGAGGGTAATAGAGGTGGAAAGGGAGGAGATGATGCAAGGTCTGGGTATAGACTTGGTCCTTATGCTGCTATGCTGTGTACTGCAATGAAGCCAGCAGAATTAATTCAGGAGTTGCATGGGAAAGTGTCCTACCATGGTAGAAGAAATAAGGCTGCCCTCCCCAGAAACTTTCTGCAAAGGATTGCAGAGAACCTCCATGAAAGTTTCCTAGAGATCTCCATGGAGGATTCCCGGGCTATCCCGGTCCACATAAACAGTTTTTTCCGGGGGCCACCCTCTGCATAGCTGGAGCGGCCTCTTGGAAGTAGTGACCCACAGCACCTCACTTTGCCTTCACAGTAAACTTGCAATAAAACCGAATTTGTGTGCCCGCTAAAGTTTAACTGGAATTTGATTGGAACTTTATACTCACCAGAGGTGCCTTCCCCGGCATTACAGTCAGCCACCATAATGTCCTGCAACCCACAGGGCTCCAAGGTTAAAAATATTTCCTGGCTCTCGGGGAGAATGGATCCACCGCTCGCCTGCCTCCCATTCTCCTCCTCCTCTTCCTTATGCACCATATTGTCCTCTTTGTTGTCCCTAGACTCACACATCTGAGAGGTGTCCACATTGCTTTTGGGGGTACTGGTAGGGTCACCCCTGAGAATCGCATGCAGCTCATTGTAGAACCGGCACGTGTGGGGGTCAGAACCAGAACTACTGTTTGCCTCCCTTGCCTTCGGGTACACTTTGCGAAGTTCTTTTATTTTCACACGGCACTGCTCTGTGTCCCTCGTGTAGCCCTTCTCGCCCATAACCCCACGCGATCTTGGCATAGATGTCAGCATTTCTTCTGCTGGTTAGGAGCTCTGCCTGCATAGACTCTTCTCCCCATACAACAATAAGATCCACCACCTTCTGTGCAGGCTAGGCTGGAGCACGTTTGGGGTATAGAGTCTCCATGATCAGCTGTGCTGGTGTGCTCCCTGTGTTAATCAAATAGGAAATGGGAATTCAAAAGTTCCCGGGGCTTTAGCAGGGGAGGTGCTGTTTGCTATGTACCTGGCTGCAGTGCAGCGGAGTTGAGAACGATATCCAGAGAGGTCACAGATGAACCGTGTGGGACACCACCGTGAGGCCAATTAAGTTGAATTACACAACGCTGTGTCTGAACTACCTCACTGTTAACCCATGAAAATTTAATTAAGCGCTACGCCTCTCGCAGAGGTGGAGTACAGAAGTCGACATTAGAGGCAACTTAGATCAGTGTAAAGCAGCCAGTAGTGTAGACAAATACATTAACAGGTCAATTTAAGGTGGCTTCCATCGACCTTACTCTGTAGTGTAGTCCAGGCCTGAGAGTCACAATCTCTTGCTGCTCCAGGTGAAATGCAGCTTTTGCCTTTTCTTTTCAGCCATGTTTTAAAGACTTAATTTTCTCCACTAAAGCTATACAAAATGTAGTTTAACAGGCTAAAACACTAAGGGAAGGCGACATTATTAAATGGATTGGTTAAAAATGATTGAGAAGGTTGTCTTTTTATTACAGTAAATAATTATTATTATTAATTATTATTATTAATCCAGGATGGTTTGTTCCTGACATATGGAGTCCTTTAATTTTAAGACACCTAAAATTAGGGGAATTCAGACACTTGAAGCCAGCACAGAGTGATAGGGACTAGAAATTCATATCTTCACACAGCTTAATGGCATACATCAAGTGACACAGCAGTCCTAGTGTCTAACGGATGGGCAATAACAACAATAATAAATAACCACCATTATAAATAGCATTAATTGTTAACTCTATTAGCAGTATTAACAGAGGCACTGAGGATTAAACGGGAATGGAAGCTGAATTACCTTCTTTCTGCTATACCGGGGTGGGGAAGCCTACAACCTGCTTCATTTCATCCAGCCCACAGCAAGTCTCCATGCCATGGGCCGGAAGCCCTGGGCCTCGGTGCCCCCATATGGGGCTGGAGCCGCGAGTGCCGGCTCACCCTGCTGCGGGGGGAAGCTGAGTTTGCCAGGCTGTTAAAAGTCCAGTCGGCTCCATGCAGCTCCCAGAAGTGACCGGCATGTCCCTGCAGCCCCTAGGAGCAGGGGCAATCAGGGAAGCTCTGTGCACTGCCCCTACCCCCAGAGCTGGCTCCATAGCTCCCATTGGCCAGGAATCGCGGCCACTGGGAGCTGCGGGGCGGCGCCTGCAGGCGCAGGAAGTGCACACTTGCAGAGCTCCCTGGCCCCTCCATTTCGGGGCTGAACATGGCGGCCACTTCTGGGAGCAGCAAGAAGCCAGGGCAGGCAGGGAGCCTGCCTTAGCCCCACTGCACTGCCGACTGGGAGCCGCCTGAGTTAAGTGCTACCCAGATGGAGCCTGCACCCTGAACGCCCAGCCCCACGTTGGAACCCCCCCACACTCTAACTCCCTCCCAGACTCCACACCCCCACTCGTACTCCAACCCCCTGACCCAGGTCAGAACCCCCTCCCACACCCAAATTCCCTCCCAGAGCCCGGACCCAAAACCTCCTCCTGCACCCCAACCCCTGCCCCAGCCCTGATCCTGCTTCTGCACTCCAAACCCCTTGGCCCCAGGCCAGAGCCCCCTCCTGCATCCCAAACCCCTCATCCCCAGCCCCACCCCAGAGCCTGCACCCCCAGCCGGAGCCTTCACCCCTTCCTGCACCCCAATCCC